TTCAACCTAGCTGCTAAAACTGGACCACCATCCTTAAATATCTCAGTGGTCAGTCTATCAGGACCCGCAGCTCGACCTCGCTTCAGATTTACTAACGCTTTCTCAACTTCGTAAAGACTAGGGGGACTTACGTCGATTTGCCATTCAGGATGACTGGAGATCGTGGGTAACCGAAGAGTGGCTCGAGGCCAGTTGAACTGATCCCTAAAGTGTTCTGCCCATCGATCCAGTCTCCTGGATTGAGAATAAAAGAGAGTCCCGTCATTTTCTGAGATAGTCTCACTTACACTAGGATTCCTAATACTAGTTTCTTTAATAAGGCGGAAAAGTTGTCTAGTGTTGCCTATCGCCGCTGCCTTTTGCATCGCTTTTGCTTTCGCCACCCACCACTGTTCGCGATCGTTACGTAGGCTTTGTATAAGTCTGCGCCTAAGTTGACTTCGTTCTTCATCATGTTCAGAGCCAGGTGGGATGAGTTTTCGGGCATCCATCAGATCGGTGGATGCTACTGAGATCCACGGTTTCATTCTAGCCTTATGGTCAACCTTACTAGCAGATATCACTGCTGTTTCCATAGCCTTTTTGATATCATACCAACCTGCTTCTGGATGGGCATCACTTACATGGTTGCTTGACTCTCTTTCTGGTTGCTCCTGAAATATATTCCTAGTTTGATTATCATTAAGTGAAACCCTAAGAGGCTTCCTTACGGTGTCTTTCCTACGCCCAGTAAGCCTCAAACAAATACGCACTCGCACTAGAGCATGATCTGAATCTAAACATGTGCCCCAGAACGAGCGACAGTTTTCTATTGAACTCCTCCATCGGTGGCTGATGGCAATGTGATTTAGTTGAGTCCAACGTTGAGACGACTTTGGGGGTCGCCAGGTTAAAAGATGTTTTACCTTATGCTTAAAATTAGTGTTTGCTAAGAATAGGCGGTTGTCTGAGCATATTTGCAACAGACGGTCACCATTGTCTGTTCTCTGAGCCGGGACACCATAACATCTGCCCAGGTGTCTTTCACTTTCACTTAGTCTATCTACTTGAGCATTAAAGTCACCAGCCATTATTACTATATCAGAGCGCCTAGCTTTTTGGAGGAGGTCCGAAAGCTTTCTGTAAAACTCATCTTTAACCTCGTCTGAACTGCAGTCAGTGGGGGAATAGGCCAATACGACGAAGAGGCAAGGGCGAGTATCCTTATCATTTCGAGTCCTTACTGTCCCATTTAGTCGGACAGCGCACAAACGACTATCTACTGGGATCCAGTCTAGGAGAGATAATTCTGCCCTAGGACTCAACGCTATGCCTACGCCAGCAAGACCCCTGGAAGCAGCATCAGGGCTACCGGATACACGAAGAGTAAATCGAGCTGCTTCTTCGTTTTGACAAGGTGTAATCAGGTTAATGACTTTACTAGGATCCTGTATGCGCGTTTCCGAGACGCAGCATACATCGATGGCACGAGATTCTAAAGTCCTAGCTAATGATGTAGGAAGGATTTGATTCTGACCAATTCGGTCTCGCGTGATGTTATGGGTATGAGGGCGGTTGTCACTTCCCGGCTGCCCGCACCGTGTAAGGTTGTTTCTTGAGGAACCTGAAAAGGAAGATAGATTAGTGTTGGTGCGTGACCGCAGAGCCCAAGGGACAACTGCTTGAGGCCGGTCACGCACGGCCTTTTTATGAAATGTTTTTTTGAGGATTAGCTCCGTTCTTAAAGGCCCTTAGTGGGCACCCTTACCCAAGGAGACGGAAATCCGTGAGTTAGGGGAGGTGTGACATTTTTAGGGTCGACCTTTTCTAACCCTTCCTTCCTTGTGAGAAGGCAGCATCGCTGCAGATGCTGGTTGTCCGAGGGAAACACCTTACTGCTGTCACACCCCTTCTGCAGTCAGCAGTACGACTTCTCCCTCAGACCTTGGGTAGCTGCTTTTAGTCTCATCGTTCTCCAATCGACCTTCCTGGCATGCTAGAACCTTCAGGAACATATGTTCCAGCCAGTATAGCTCGGTTGGGTCATCACGATAGGCAAGCCCGACCACCACGTCAAGGTAGTAGCCACGGTCGGGATGTTCAGTCTATGAGTTGATTTTAGCTTGTTTGACAAAACGGACGCATCATGAGACCTTTATATACTAAACTGGACACACTGAAATATCTAACATCTGGGAATGATTTTAATCAAACAACCATTGAAAACATTGAAGCACAAGACAGCTTTTTCGTATGGGACCTTTCAGTGGTTTGTACTCACTAACCCTGTACTGAAGATCGAACCCAGGACCTTCGATCTGTCAAGCGAACGCTTAACTTTTAAGCCACTGAGCTTTCATGGTTGCCTGATATTACGGGTCGATTAGAGTTAAGTCAGTCACTTACAATCTAGATCTACATACGTACCTACACCAGTTCAAATCGCCATACCGCATTAGAACACAAAGACGCAATTGTCAATTCAAATCTCATAGTAGTAGAGGTAGTAGTTTTAGCAGTGATCGGAGAGATTATGGTCCGAAGACATTATTCAAGAAGTATAATGTAGTGAAATAAACTTAAAAACAGAAAGATAAAGGTAATTTGGAATCTACAGGATTAGGATTTGAAAGAACACAAAGAATGAACGCACCTGCGCCATCGAAAACGATTTTGAACCATGTCGTTGAATACTGGCTCTGAAGCTACTTGGTTCTATCTTTGATAGCAGTGTCGTGAATGCACACTGTTGAAACCATCCTATAACAGGCCGAAACAGTTGTTCACTAGTTTCTTGTCAGTGAATGTTTGACTAACCGTAATCAGTCCTAGTTGTAAGGTATGAAATTGAAGAATCTTTATATTCTCCTATAATAATTGACGCATTTGCTAGTTAACTTTGAACCAACATTTGACTCTCTTAAAAGTCAAGAATCACTAATAAGCTTACATTCATTGATCGTTGCCTTATAATCATGTTTGTCTGATTCTCTTTAAGTGTTAATCGAATACTATCTATCTATCTATCAAGCTGTCATGTGGCCACTAGTCTCAAATTACTCGATATGGTGTACACTCTACTGATAGGTTAAGTGGGGTTGTAGGTAATCAAAATGAAACTCTGAACTTCGGTTCCATATTATCAACAACATTTCTTAAGAACTGCTGCTGCTTATTCAATCATAATGTGCATCACATAGCTCCATAATTTGAGACGTTGCTATTCGGATCACGGCTAACTTCCTGTTAGATTGAGATATTCATCACTGAGTATTAACTAAGATCATTGCACTTCTAATCCCTGAAATATAATAGGTACGCCTTAGTGACGAGTGCTCACAACCACAAAATCGAATCCTAGGATTTTTATGCCTACTACTTTCAATAATCAAACGTCAAAAATTGTGTAAACAATAATATTCATTATAGAATTATGGAGATTGTTGTTTTACATTGAAATCATGGGTCAGTGGTTGTGAGACCACTGTTAAAAACCTGGAGGCACTGAATGGCTGTTTCGTCCTTGTCTGAGGCTCATCAGTGGCAGTGTGAACTCACGACGCCCTCTGTCAGTAATCGAGTCCAGGACCTTTGGTCTAGCGCGCGAACGCTTATCCTGGAGACTACTGAGCCGACATCCAACGGTGTTAACGTCTAACTTTGATTAATCTAAGGTTTTGAACAACCTCACCCGTGACCAATGGAGTTCAACCCTGTTGGGTGTAGGCAGTTACCTACTGAAGAGGCTGGGTGAGATTGTGCAAAACCTTAAATTAATCAAAGACATTAACACTGGTGGATGCCAGCATAGTGGTCTAGAGGAGGTTAAGCGTCCGTGCTTTGAATCCAGGGTCCTGAGTTCGATTCTCCTTTGTAGGGTTGTCGATGCTCTCTGCCACTGATGAGTCCCATACTCGGACGAAATGGCCTTTCAGCGCTTCTAGATTTCTAATAGTGATCTTACAATGAAAAAAATACTAATGATAGTCTTACATTTTTAATATAACTGCATCTGCTGGCATCCGTACAGTTATTTTTTAAGCATAAGCACAATTTGAAATGCTTCATCGGTAAAATATTTTATTCTTTCAGAGAATATAACAGCTCTGAGAATGTGCACTTTATCTAATTATTTTGATTTGGCGCAAGTGCATCCATTGTCTATGTTTCTCTCAAACTGTATTCTGAATTCCTCATCACATTTATCATTCTCTTCTCAAATTTATTTCACTGAATTATACTCCTTGAATAACATATTCAAACCCTAACCTTTCTGATTACTGCTCATACTTCTACTACATCTATGACTATGGGATTTGAATTGACAAAACCGTCTCTCTGTTTGCTATCGTGATACGGCGACTTGAATTGGTGTACGTATGTACGAAGTTCTACATTATTGCTGACTGACTGGATATAGTTGGACAGAAGTTAGAAGTGGGGTCTAGTATACGCGGTTCTTCATGTTTAAAGACTTATTAACTGGTTATAACTATTTACTTAATTACTTACACCATTTACTTCTAATGCAGCAAAGGCTTCCGACCGGCATTCTTCAACCAACTCTATCCTGCGTCTTCCTTTCCAGTTCTACCCAGATATTAATACTTCTTTTCATATCTGTCTCCAGTTCTCGGTGCAGTGTATTCTTGATTATAATTTACACTACAGTTTTAATGTTCACGTTGGGACTTGAACTCATTACCTTTCATTTCTTACACTCAAAACCTCATTCACTGAGTTACTGAATGGAAATAGTAATTAAATTGTCCATTCGATGATATGAAGGTATAAGTTCAAATTTGTAACTTCTTTGTGTATAACACATACAAGACTCAATGTATCCAAGTTGATGAATCCTTTGACGTAGTGAAAACCTACCTCCTATATTTCATTGAACTGATTAATTCAAACAGATGAATAGTGAATTTGATTTTATTTTTAATTGATTTGATCAATATTCAATTATCCTCTGACTTATCATTCTACTATTTTTTTCGAAATACATAATTATCGTTGTAGATAAATGAATTATCGCTCTGTTGATGATGATGATAATAATACCATCATCATTCATCAACATACTAATAATGAACTACCAGTAAAATCAATAAATAATATTCCAGACAAAACTATGAATTCATTCAACGCTTTGAAAGCAATCAATACTGCTGCTTCTAAATCAGCCTACAAGTCAAATTTGAAAATATCACCTCCATTGCAAAAGGATGCGAAAGTAATTAGACAAATTTATGTGTTCATTAATTAATCAATTTATTGATTGATTGAGGTCTGTCAGTTGATCAATGAGATGAATTTCAATTGATGAACTATTGAAGTTTCTTCTTATTTTCTATTTCCAATATAACTTAATGAAATAGGAATCCAAGATGAATAGTTGTCTGTCATGCGAAACAATACTTCAGTGTTTATTTATAATCTTCCACTCGTTACTAAAGTGGATGGGACTTGTAAGATGAATGTTTCATGGAAGTTAGAAAAATTTGGAAAAAAGGAACCATTTTGTTTTCATTTTGTAATGATGCACTAATCTTAGGGGTATATAACACAGTAAAAACAAATTAAAATGTGGTGATAACTAGTCAAGAAACAATGAAAACAAATCTGAATTATGTACAACCTCACCCGATCTCAATAAAAAATGTGTTCACTAGTGACGAAGTTCTAGTGAGAAGATGTGACCAGGGGAGTTCAACCCTGTTGGGTGTAGGCACTAACTACTGAGGACATTGGGTGAGGTCACGCAAAATCCCTAGATTGATCATTGGGTGGTTGAATACTGGTTCAGTGGTTCAGAGGTTAGGCGTTCGTGCGCAAGACCGAAGGTCCTAGGTTCAAATCCTGCGAATAGCGGGGGTCGTTGAACCCCACTGCCATGAGGTTAGCGACCCTATCTCGTAGAAAACCAACTTGCTGGAAAAAAAAACGCTAACCATCATACTGGACATTAAATCGCAATCCTAGATCACCTGATAACACATGATTCAATTATATTCTTCATATCCATTGACAGTGTTTTATCACTTAGATTTTCGCTTTCACATTAGATCTAATTATCTTAACTTCGCACAAACCTTTACGATATTTACTCGTCAATTTACATATATCTCTCAATCACTACGCTAATCAATCAGCCAGAAAGAAACAGAGGAATTTTTGCTAATGGTTGATATTCATGGATGATATTCGTCAAGGAGTGTAGTCTAATTCGAGGTACCACTAAAATCAAATAGCGATAAATATATTTTTCATCCTAATACATGACTTCTAAAAATTGTGGATCCATTACCTCAGAACAGATCAAAGCTAGAGCCTACAGGGCTAGCAGTGAACCCCTATGTGTTGGTATCATAAGGCTGGTCTCCCAATACACTACGTGATCCCGGACATATCATATACCTAAGCTTACATGCTGTTCTAAGTTCAAACTGTATGTAAGAGCTCTTAATCATAGGCATGCCACTGAACGAACCTAACTATTTACTTAACCAAAGTTCATATCTAAATTTCAGTTTGTAGATCAAGAGCCAATAATTTGTGTACCTTTTATCCAGTTTGTCAGTCAAAATTTCCTAGTCATAGCTTTCTCATTTGTGTAGTAGTAGGTTAAGTAAGCTTGTATGTCAAGCACACAGGGCTTATCTCATTCTTCTTCTCCAGTCATCGTTCACATGCCTTTTCACCTTGACAGTCATCCCGGTCATATCTTGGTTGTTTTTGCTTCTATGTATGTGTGTGTATGTGCCGTTCACTTCACTGATCACATGTCTAGCCTATTTTCGCCTGACTTCGAACACTTAGTCATTCATGCCTCATCACATAAAAGTTGGCTCATTCGCCTTCTCTACTTCACTTCGATTTGACTTTACGCTTTGTATTTTCATGTCTGTGTCTGCATGAACGATTGCCCTACATAAACTCATCCAACCGAATCTGTATTCAGCTTCTTATTACCTCCGTCGCACAAATGGGAACTGAAGGGGAGATTTATTTCGTCAGCATACACTCAGATAAAAATAACCAAAATATGAGCCATTGATTGACAAGGTCAAACGATGGAAGAATTAAATTGTCCACAGACTGGGACAAACCCTATCTGCTCGACATATTAGTATACAAACTATAAGCTTCTACGTACTATGTGTATTCATGTCTCAAGTGGACGATCACTACACGTCACATGTTCAATAACACATATTTTCAGCATGAATCAACATATCAATTCGTCTGTAGGGAAACATACATTCATTCATTCATGTATAATAAAAAATAAGTAACTGTGTTTTTAAAATTTAATTCCAGAATTTCAATCAATTTAAACAAAAATTGCATCCAGTTCAATTAAGAAAACCAATTCAACAAACAAATAAAAATTATGCATGTCGTTTACAAGATTTATGTATTGAAGATCGTCGTAAATTGAATCAATTAATTCGAAAATTAGCTGAAGCACAAGACGCTTTAGATGTGATGGATTCTAAATTGAAAGAACAAACTATGCATAATAATAATTACATGGGAAAAAATGATAAGAGAATATTCACATCGAATCAATTTGTCGATTCGGCTAGAATTGGATTATCAAGTGTAGAAGAGGCGAAAATATGCCCTCCTAATACAAATCAATTGATTGTAAGTAGTATTATGGTTTAAATGTTTGTTTTTTTTGGTAAAGGATTGTAGGAATGATTTGAAATTCAGCGAAATCATGAACTGATCAATGTCAGAGTAATATTAGGCATAGGGAAGCGCTCGATGATCGTTTTGTTTTAGTATGAGACTTGTCAAGAGCGTGTGTATCCATGAGCCTGCTAGAGGGAATAGAATATATAGTCTTCGATCTCGTCTATTAACACTTAACCTCTTGAGTAGTGTGAGTCTAACATTGATCAGTTTATGATTTCAATACGGCTCCATAACCCTATACAAATGATTATTATGCACTCACTAGTGACCAGCTTTGAGAGGGAATTATCGAGGCTCTGGTGAGAAGCCGTGACCAGTGGTGTACATCTGTGTCTGGTGTACCGCATAAGTTACCCAATCAAGGTAATTAACGATTGTCGTCCAGTGTTCTGTATTTATAGAAGTTAGACATGAACATTGTTGGAAACCTCCTCAGTGGTTTGAGTGTTATGTAGTCTGATGCGAGACCGAAAATCCTGTGTTCGATTCCCGCCTGCAGTACCGTGGATACACACTGCCACTAAGAAGTTTTACAATGGAATGAAAAGACTGTAGTACCTCCACATACATTTGAGTTTGTTCATATTTTATTTGCTTTAAGCCTTTTGATTAACTTATTTCATAGACAGTGTGATTCGTACAGCAATAACTTACATGTACCATTGTGCTTTTATTATTGTCACGTTTGTATGAGCAGGTATCGATTACTGACTGTCATGAAACTAGTGAGGCATTGGCCACCACAAGATTATTCAATGCTTTTAAGTTCACTATAGTTTTCTAACTTACCTCAGTTTGTTGATATCAGTACAACTTATTACTTGTCAGTCTTAATACATAACAGTAGTTTCATTTGACCTTTCTTACCATATTAGTTCAATTAGTAAATACGAACATTTTAAGAAGTGTTTTATTTTCGAGAGCTTATCCTGACGAAGTGAGGTCTAATGGTTGAATAATAATGCTAGGTGCGGCCAAACCAAAACATGGCACAAATCCATGAAGTCACTGACGACAAGTGGACTAAGTCATGTTAGTTGGTGTAGACTACCTGGTTGGGGTCCGCGAGACATTAGTAACCGATGGTTAGAGACCTTGAATGACATGGCTCACAATCGATCCATTCTTTGTCTTCTCTCAAATTCTAATCTCCTGACTTGCTGATCACCTCTGTCTTTCTCCTTCTAAATTTATTTCACTTGCTTGTACTTCTCAAATAATTTCTTCGAACCTTAATCGTCTCCATTACTGCCAATACTATGGAATTTGAACTGACAGTTGCGTCTCTGTGCTAATGTAGTATGGCAACCTAAACTGATGCTTGTAAGTATGTAAGTATGCCCTCCGTTGTTGTAGCTGACTGACTGTGCAGGTCCATGAAGTCATGCCGTGTTGACCACAGCCACATTCTACACTACTTGTTTTATACTTCGTAGGATCATCAAGATCATAGATTGTAGACACTGAGGGATGTGGCCTAGAAACCACACACACTGACTCAAATGCATTCGTTCTTTATCTTACCGTAAATCTTGATTGGTGTTTACCGGTTTACGACCTGACTGAGATATTTTTTGAACAATTAAATATACTATGAAGCAAATCTTCCCTTCCATTTCCATGCATCATACTTTGGCGAATCCTGTTTGTACAACAGCGGTAGGTAATAAGAAGCCAAATATGACTTAAATCAGATGAATTTATTTCATGCAAAATCATTCACTCAGAAAAACACATTCGAGAATACAGAGCGTAACAACAAGGTGAAGCAAAGTGAAGTAGAGAAGGCAAGTGAGCCAACTCAATGCGATTCAGCATGATACATTTGAATAAAGCCAACCAAGTAGGATATGAAGTGAATAATAGACAAAGTTGAAAGATGTGTGAATATTAAACTTCAGGAGAGTGGATTGATTAAACTATCCAGAAACTGAGACAGTCGCTGTGGTCTCAACATATCAGTACACACACAGTACAGGCGGCGCTACATTATATTGCCTCTTCTGCATATTCATCTCTACTTGTGATGTAGCAACTTAGGGTGGGGGGTCAATACACATCTGTATCAGACAATAATTGATCATTATAACATTGTGTTTACTCTCTTTTTTTTCTTACATTCTTTTTTTAAAACAAGATCACCTATAAAACGAAATTGGAACAATTAGAAATGGAATTAAATCAAATACGATGTAATTTAAAACAAGAACAAACTGTTCATCAATTTGAAAAGAATAATCAATCTTTGAAATCATTCATTGAAATTCACCCAACTATAATTAATAATGGTAAGAAGTAGTTTACAAATTAAACATGTGTGTCTGTGTGTGTGTGTGTTGAGTGAATTTGTAGTGCAGTTCAAGAAGGGGGATATAAACATATATTCATTGAAATGATGAGTTGATCCTCTGGATTCTCATCATCACATTTATCTTGCTCACTTTAAGAGTATTTCACTAGATTCTACTTCTTGAATAGTATATATTCAAACTGTAATCTTTCCGATTACTGCTAATTCTTCTACTATCTCTACCATTATGGAATTCGAAGTGACAGTTGCTTCTCTGTGCTAATGTGGTATAGTAATTTGAACTGATGTACGTATGTATGAAATTCTACGTTGTAATTGACTGACTGACTGACTGACTAGTTCGGGTCCAATGGTGTTAGTTTTTGACTTTGATCAACCCGACGTATTGCGCAACTTCATTCATTGTCTTCGGCAGGTAACTACATACACCAACAATCTGTATGATATCACTTATTCACAATAATGCTAATCGATACATTATTTTACTGACATATAATCCATACAGTTCGACAGTACTGATTACCATTGAAAGTTGAACAATATTCATTGGTGATGTTGACATGGGTGTAGATTATCGACTGGATTATTGAGCAACAATGTTAGTTGTTTGAAGATTTGCATAGATCAATCAGTAATCGAATTCATTCTGATTGATTTTCTTTGCTGTCTTGATGGACATGATGTTAAGAAAAATAGGTCGTCATTTTATGCAACTCTATTAGTTGTACGAAGTTGTTTTACAGATATTCAATTATGATGTCTTTCTTTGTAAAAAAAAGTTACTCCATGAACTGATCAAACATAAACATTTGGTAAATTAGTTGTCCTTTTTGGCGATTTAAAACTGATATTGTTTGGTTCTCTAGTGTCATCCCAATTTTGTTGAGTTGTATGAAATATGAATTTCTCTGATTGATAGACGAATGTCTGAATTGAGTACTGAACTGGCTAATTATCGGTACAAAGGGACACTAGAATAAAAGTATGTGACGCAAATCAATCGATTTGTGTGTGTGGAATGAAATACTTTCGGGTTGTTCAAGCCGGAGCAGTTGGTTTCTCCTTAGTAGGTAACACCCCGCTCATTTGACTCAAAATTCTCATTCACAAGTCAGTGAAGCAACGTACGGAGATGCGGTCTCATGGTAACCGGTAACTCGGTCTTCTATTCGCTCAATTTCGTAAACGACACCCCGGCCATGAGAAAGCAGTGAGAAGGAATTTTCTGGCAGTTGTTATGTCTTTGTAGCCATATTGAGAGCATTTCGAGAGGGAGAATCAACTTTCCCACTTTCTTGACCTTACTAGATCATTTAGGGGCTCGCCATACTTGTGATTGAAGCCTAGACTTATGTAGTCTGTCGTTCGAAATAAATTCATCATATTAGGATAATAGGCTTCCTTAACTAGGACTTTCGAGTCTTGCGCCATTGATGTATTCTGCATCTCCGAAACGCACATACAGGATCGGAGTATAGTGATTGATTTTACCTCACCTTGTCAAAATAAAGGACTATCTCGATTTACGCTTCGTATATCCAGAAGCCATACTAATGCTTTTGGTCGCCTCGCTGATGTAGGTATAACATTGATTTCTAAAACAGAACTAGCTCACTTTGACTGGATTCTAGTGGATGATTACTTGTGCGCTGTCTGACTAAATGGGACAGTAAGAACTCGAAAAGACAGGGACACTCACCGTTGTATCTTCGTCGTATCTGCCTATGCTCCCACTGAATGCAGCTCGGACGAGATAAAAGATGAGTTTCACGGAAACCTCACTAAACTTCTTCAACAAGTTAGACGCTCTGATATATTAATAATGGCTGGTGACTTTAATACTCAAGTAGGTAGACTAAGTGAAGAGGAAAGACAGTTGAGTGGATCTTAAGGTGTCGCGGCCCAAAGAACAGATATTGGCTACCATCTGCTGCAGCTGTGGTCAGATAACCACCTATTTCTGGCTAAAACCAACTCTAGGCATAAAGTGAAATATCTTTCGACATAGCGACCTCCAAAATTGACCAAGCGATCAACCTAACTAGACCACATTGCTATCAGCCAACGTTGAAGAGGCATCGATTGATAAACATTTGTATCTTCGAGATGATGGCTTTCGTAGTTCTCCAAGTTTCCGCTCCATACAGTAGAACTGTCTTGACATTTGTATTGAGAATGGTGACCTTGGTGTTGGTTGATAGTTGTTATGAGTTTCATTCACTCATTCACTTACTAGAATTTCGGAGACTGTCAGTCGAAACGAATCCCTAGTGTGTATACGATTACATTTAGTGTAGGATCTTGTCAAAAATTATTGAATTGCATAGTATTTATTTTAGACTAATATTGCTCCCCTGATCATTAGAAGCTAAGAAACATCTAGCAACTGTATCATCATTTGATGGAACTTGATTATTAAAATAATAAAAATACATATTACTTAATAAAGTCTTTTCTGCATCATACTTCAATAATTCATTTGAAATTTACGACAAATCAGATATTTGTTCATTGAACTCATGGATCGATCAATGTTAGATCACTGTTGGACACATGGAAGCAGTGAACGACAGTTTCGTCCTAGTATGGGACTCATCAGCGGCAGTGCGCATCAGCGACGCTTACAAACGGAAATTGATTCCAAGGCTTTCGGTACCGTACGCAAACACTTAACCTGTAGAACACTTAGCTGGCATTCAATGGTGTTAATGTCTTACTTCAATCAACCCACAACACTGCGCAACGATCTTTGATTGTCTTCACCGGAAAAGTGCCTTAGACTCTACATAGTTGAGCTCCACTGGGTGCATATTTTCATCCGAACTCCGAGTGCCACCAAACGAAGCTAGTCCCTAATGAGTGCATCATAATGGTCATTATGGGATTGTTGAAATCATTGAGTTTCATTGAAAGCATATGCTCACTGGTGACTAGCTTCATGAGGTAACTCTCGGAATTCTAATAAAAAGCCATGACCAGTGGTGTGCAACTGTTTCAGGTGTCAAGCTATTACCCAACATAGACAATCAATGATGGTTGCGTAATTTCATGGATCGACTAAAGTTAGACATTACCAACATTCGATTCCTGCTCACTGGTTTACAAGATAAGTTTTGGCATACCGTACCGAAGATTCTTGTGTTCAATTCCCGCTTGCTGCAGTCGTGGGTGCGCACTACCACTGATGAATCCTATACCAGGACGAAACTACTGTCCAATGCTTCCGAGTTTCTTTCTGATGGTAGTCTAACACTGATCGATTCATCATTTCAAAAAAAGTAACTCAACTAACTCTACAACCCTACAAATAAAAAATACTTTTTATATTTCCCTTAATTTAATTTAATTTTTATTAGTTGAACAAATGAAACAATCAAATCAAAATATAAATGACTGTCCAAAACACTCCTCACCGTCATCATCACCTGCTCAAATAGTTCCTCCTCCTCCTCCTCCTCCTCCTCTTCAGTGTGTTAATCAACATGATCATTCTTCTAATCAATATTTGAATCAAAATGGCTCAAGTGCCCATTGTGATTCATTACAGAGAACAAATGTTACTGGAAAAAATCAATGCCAAATCAAATCAATAGACCATAATAATAATAATAATAATAATAATAATAATAATAATAATAGGAAAGACAATAAAATCGATAGTAAATCTGATATAAACTCAATGAATCAGGTAAATTCATTCATCATTAATAGTAATAATCAATTTATGTATTTATTTAGAATAATTAATAATTTTTTATTACTATTGTTATAGTTATAACTTTGTTAGGATACAGGTGCTGGGTAGAGATGGCAGGTCAATAGATGAAGTAGTGAAACTTGATTAGTCGACGTAATGCCTAACCACCGACTTCCTCAACCAGCGATGTTTTGTGGTGTTGGAGTAGGTTGGAAGAGAGGTAGGGGCGGCCAGACCAAAACATGACAGAAATCCATGAAATCACTGACAAGTGGACTGAATTATGTTGGTATGTGTAGACTATCAGGTTGGGGTATGCGAGACAAAAGTAACTGATGGCTAGAGACTTTGAATGATATGGCTGAAAACAGTTTGCAATGAGTCAAGTGCATCCATTCTTTATGTTCTCTCAAATTTTAATCTAAACTCTTTACGGCCATTTTTCCTATTTTTAAATTTATTTTCCTAGATTATACTTCTTGGTAGGTGTAGACTACCTACCTACTAGATGGAATATAGATATTAGGCGAATCTAAAATTTTCAAATATCTATCTACAATAGACGCAGATAGTTAACTTTCTTCTGTCACATATCTTTTGGTCTTGAAAATACTTTGATTGCGCCATCCGGTTTCGATCCCTTGACACTCTTCTCTCTGTTAATCACTTCTGGGTGACACTCTACTGCATACATACTACTTGAAAAGCCACGTTCCGAGTAATATCCGCTGCGTCTCGGTAATTTCCGAATATTTCACATGAAAATCATCGGTCAATTCAATTTAGGAAAAAAGTATTTGTTTGGTATTACTTACTTACTTACTTTCGCCTGTTACCCCCGAATGGAGCATAGGCCGCCGACCAGTTCTCTCCAACCAACTCTGTCTTGGGCTTCTCGTTCCGATTCTGTCCAATTTTTGTTCATTCTTCTTATGTCTTTTTCTATTTCTCAGCATAATGAATTCTTTGGCCTTCCTCTTTTCCTTTTGCCTTGAGGTTTCCAAGTGAGGGCTGGTCTTGTGACACAGTTAGGTGCTTTTCGTAGTGTCTGTCCTATCCACTTCCACCGCTTAGTCCTGATTTCCTCCTCCACTGGAATCTGGTTTGTTCTCTCCCACAGTACGTTGTTGCTGATGGTGTCTGGCAAGCGAATACGAAGTATTTTGCCTAGACAACTGTTACTAAAGACTTGTATCTTTTGGTTAATGCCTTTCGTAGTTCTCTTTTATTTCGATTCATATCAACCAACACCAAAAAATAACACAACCAAAATCTGTCGAAAACTTTTACAACAATAAATTTCCTATGAACACTATTTGTGTTGGTTTTTTTTGTCAAATTATTTGATATACTACTCACTTTTGTGACCGACCACACTTACTTTTTTCAATTACAGTTAAATGCTACAAAACATCATAAAGTTTCAAGCATTCACCGTAAAAACTCCAATTCAAGCTTATTACCAGTATGGAAATTCATTCAGACTCATGATAAATCATCCATTGTCAAAAACAATCAATCAATATTAAGCCATGCAATGAAAAAAAATGTTTCCATCATGACTGTACCAGTCAATCTGACAACAATAACAAGAACAGCCATTCAGTCGAATGCTAATTCAACTGAACAATCTACACAAACTTTAATTAATGATGATACGAATAATAATGAGGTAAGAGTGAATATTTTTTCAATTGATTCTGTCATAATTTTATTATATATAAACCATTGATTGTTTATTGATTAATAAGGAGCTTCTTCGATATAATGGTGTGCCTGAAAAGAAAGTCAACGTCATACGGAATAGATTAAAATGCAAAAGCATGCATGGAGGGCAGCTAACAGACTTGTTCGAGGTGAAGACCAGTGTCAGACAGGGTTGATTATTCTTGCCCTGTCTCTTTCTTCTGGTGATTGACTGGATTATGAAGATGTCAACATCTGATGGGGTGCAAGGGATACAGTGGACAGCGAGGATGCAGCTGGACGATTTGAACTTCGCAGATGATCTGGCTCATCTATCGCACACGCAACAACAAATGCAAGAGAAGATGACCAGTGTAGCAGCAACCTCAGCGGCAGCAGGTCTCAATATATATAAATGGGAAAAGCAAGATTCGCCGACACAACACAACATGCACCAACCAAATCACTCTTGATGGAGATTCTTTGGAGGAAGTTAAAACCCTTACTTGTTTCGGTAGCATCATTGACGAGCACGGTGGATTTAATGCAGATGTGAAGGCGCGGATCAGCAAAGCAAGGGAATTATATCTACAATTGAATAACATCTGGAAATCAAAACAACTGTCAACAAACACCAAAATCAAGATTTTCAATACAAATGTCAAGACAGTTCTGTTGTATGGAACAGAAACTTGAAGAGCTACGGAAGCCATCATCCATAAGATACAAGTGTTTATGAACAGCTGTCTACGCAAAATATTTTGGATGCGTTGGCCAGACACTATCGGCAACAACTTACTGTGAGAGAGAACAAATCACATTCCAGTGGAGAAAGAAATGAGAAAGAAGCATTGGAAGTGAACAGTACACACATTGAGGAAAGCACCAAACTGAGTCACAAGACAAGCCCTCACTTTGAACCCACAAGGTCAAAGGAAATGAGAAAGACCAAAGAACATACTGCGCTGAGAAATGGAGACAGATATGAAAAGAATGAACTCCAATCGGGTAGCGATTGATAAAAAAGGCCCAGGACAGAGAATAGGTTAGGGAGTGCTGGTCAGTGACATATGCTCCACTATGGGTAACAGGCCTAAATAAATATGTAATAGTCAGTCAGTCAGTCAGATGCAACGTAGAACTTTGTACATAAGTACATCAGTTCATGTTGCCATACCACATCAGCACAGAGAAGTAATCGTCAATTCAAATCCAATAGTAGTAGAGGTAGTAAGGGAATTAGAAGTAATCGGAGAGGTTAGGATTAGAAGATACTATTCAAGAAGTATGATTCAGTGAACACCATAGTGAGATATTAAGTGTTTGGAGGTAGGTGATGATACCTGACGCCAGGTTTCGTGCTGGTTGATGCTACTTATCAGTAAGTTTTACCTGTATTGTTGAGCGAACTGATGCTACCTGTAGGATTTGAAATTGCGTTGCCGCGCTTTAACATTATTATGTGTTCGAGTGAAGTCGAGTGATGCGATTTCCTATCCAACAGAAGGATCAGCTCTCTCAAAATAACCGACACCTGTTGACTTACATAAAATCTATATCAAGTCTGTCTTTTCTTAAATTACTATCAAGCACTTGAAAGATGTAATGTGTTTGTCGATTCACTATGTGTATGTGTTTTTTTAGTAGTGTTTTACTCATTATTATCGAATGAAGTAAATTTTTTAGTGAAAAATAAAACGTTAAAAATAATCACCAACTTCATTCTTAAATTTATCTTTTATTTACTGAACTAATGAAGGGATTTTGTTGAGGTAGAGTTAAGAAAATCATTATTGAGTTATAGTGTAATGTGGTTACTGAATCATGAGAAAATACCCTAATATTTTGTGTTGCACAAACCACACTACTAACTAGTAGTTAAATGTATTTTTTAAAGTTTTCAACAACTTATTTTCTGAAGTAATTAATCCAAAAATGTATTCCGTTTTAAGGCACTAGACTGATGTGCCTATATTCCATTTATCATGAACTTTCAGTTGAATCACTCATTTTCGTTTTACTGCTTACTATTCTCAATCCGTTTCATTTGTTATTTACAGTCTTTCTTAATCATAGCCACTTGTGACTTGTTCATGTATAACTCATATTTTTATTCTATAATGCGATGATGAGATCTGGTTTGTTTTGTATGTAAACTAATTGTGTTTGAAATATGAATGTAGTACAGGGTGCTTGTTGACTTCTAGACCTAAAGGGAGAACAGATTGTGGGTAAGGAGTCGTGTAATTAGCCAAAATTGAGGCATAATAGATTGTATCATGATTTTTGGATTGTAACTGAATTTATCAAGTAAAAGATCGTACATTCCACTATCTGTTACTTCCATTGACACACGATTCGAATGGTTAGTACTAAACGGATAAAACAATCTTGATTTCAGATAATATCTCTTAGATTTCTGCTCATCGCATAAAATGATGATAACTTGTGTCTTATTAAGAATTTTGAACAGATTATTGATATCTAGTTCTTGGAATAAGATTTTTATTGTGCAAACTAAATGACCAGAAACATCTTCTCCTGATGAAGCTCGTTTGTGAAATGTCAATTACTTGTATCAATTTGCTTGATATGATACATTAGTGATTTATTTTTCTATTTAAATAGATAAACCGAAGATTCTGATTTTCTGGGGAGGTCACTCATTGAGCCTTCAACCTAAGGGTCTAATACCTTAGACAGTGTAGCAACGTTAGGAGACACAGTCTCATGCTGGCTAGTGACCAATATTAATTTCATATACGATTAGTTCTGTCAGGTTCCTGATAACCATATACACCATTGATTTGGAATCAGAGTTTCTCCACTCCAAAAGGTGAATTCTCCACACCCACGAACTCGGTTTAAGACTCGCTAGACACTCACTTTTTATCCACTCAACTTCTTAATGCATACTTCAGGCACGAGAAGTCAGTGAGTAGCAATTTTCTGGAAGTGTCCATGTGAATGCGTTTTGAGACGGATAATGAATTCTGTTCACTCTCAACTTTCCGATGGTTTTTCAGAAGCCATATGATACGAGAAATAGTCACTATTGTTTTAATCATTGAAATCTACTGTCTCACTGTAACTTATCTACTCCAACCTTAACCTCCGTACGTTCATTAATTATCATCAATAATTCCTGTTCAAGAGTTTCATTCATTTTATGATTTTTTATTGATGAAAAATTATATTCTCACTATTAAATATATACTACTTCCAAATGAACTGATCATATAAATAAGTAAAATTTGTCAATATAGTGTATAAAATAATTTTTTTTTGACTTGTGATGATAAAAGTTATCTTTTTTTTAATACTGATGAAAATCAATTCAAATAAAAAAGATTTTAGTGGGGCTGATTTATGTTCGTCGTCGTTGGGCTCACTATTTTACTGGCCCATTATAAGTTGACTCCATTATTTAAGAACGTTCGAGCATGATGCTATGAAATAAGTGTTTCCTTTAGTTTCTGTTACACCTGCACGTAAACACGTCAATTTGACATACTTTCAACTATTACGAGTTTACCTAGTCGGAAAACGAGAGCGAGGATCGAGGATCCGACGACACGACATGCTTCTCAAACCCGATCATCCCAACCCCCACTGAACAAAAGAAGGAAGCTTGATATTAGGTAGAACGTGTATTCTACAAGCATCCAGAAAGCACGAGGTCCGAATCCAGAATAGAATCAGGATCCCGGACTAGGGATCCGGGACCAGGTGCTGCTCATAAAACGTTACAGACCATGCGTATTTATACATTTTAGTCGAATAGGAAACGGCTTTGAAGTCTGTGACATTGTCAGTTAAGACGTCCAATAGGAAAGCAACATTTGAAGTGACATTGATAGTCAGCACAATCAATAAGAAAGAACATTGGAGCACCTGACATTGATATCTAGGATAACCATAAAATAGACCAGTAGGAATGAACCAATAGGAATTGACCAGTACTTCTCTTAGGATATTGGATGAATATCCTAACAGTTTCCTTGCATATCATCATATTTAGTCGAACGCCGTTTCTGCAACGGGGTTCACCTTTGCCCAAAGCTCCTCTGAGGCTACTTCCGGTCCTGAGCCCGGATAAAGGAGGAGTCTTGAGCATATGGTTAGCGATCCCATCCCATGGAAAACGAAATCGCTAAAAAAATGCTAACCAGAAAATATAATTCAAAAAATTCAATAATAAACTCTGCCCTGGCAGTTAGAAGAGTTATGACGTCTCATGATAAAAGATAAGTTCATTCGGAAGTCACCTTTTCAAATAATATTTTCATCTTAATGATTGTTGTATTCTTTGAGATAAACAGATTTTTATTCATTCTTTTTATTGTTCAGTAAATTAAGCAGCTTTAAAATAATTATAGTTTATGGTCATTAGTTTCTGTTAAGTTGCATAAATTGGTAATTATTCTTTCAATGTTTACTTTTCCTTTTAATTTATAAACGTTAATCGCTTACAAACTACACTATCCCTATTGTTTCTAAACAAATATTTGTCGATTTGGAAGTTTTATAGAAAAAATATCAGTGAATGAGTACAAAAATGCCGGATTACACAATAAATAATACTGATAAGGGATCTTAAATATTTCTTTTTTGTGGAACGCAAACACTAATACACATTTTATTGTTTGCATAAGTTTCCTTTTTAAATATTCGATATGTAATTTAGGCATTGCATAATTATAATTATATTCTTTCATCCTATCTGATTTACATATTTTATTTTGAAATTATGAATTGATCAAAGTTAAGTAGACTAACCACCATTATAGAAACTTGGAAGCACTGGACGGAAGTTTCGTCCTGAGTATGAGACTCATCAATGTCAGTGCGTACCGATGACTTCTGCTACTCGGAGAAATCGAACCTAGGACCTTTGGTCTTGCGCACGAACCCTTAACTTTATATTTTATTTTTTGACGATTAATGTCATGGTAACAATTAAGATACAAATTTATTAAAGTTATT